GGTGCTCACGACGCCGACGCGAGCGCAATCCCTCCAACATTAGCTCGTATTCAATATCACTAATCTCACCACGAGAATGACGAGCCACGAGATCCTCCTCTAGAGTGCGCAAATTACTGGCCTCCACGTTCGCCTCCTCAGTACTCATCCTCTACGACGTCTCTATAAGGTACCACAAATTAAAATAAAGTGCCTCTTCCTTAAATCCCTCGTCTCGGGGTCACCTCACAAGGGTCCTCAGACGAGTGGTAATAAATTACCAAACGCCCTATCCTTGGGTCCGAGAACGTAACTGGAGGGAAATCAAGAGAGGTTCAACTTAGATTAATAAGCGCCCTTCACTAACGCCGCACGCCAAGGCGAGTATACGAACGCGAATATCAACGACGGCGTAAATCTATGCGTGTTCGTTCCACGCTCACCGCACCATGAAGGAATATATTAGAGAGCGTAGCAATAACGAGAGAGTTTCTGCTATGGGAATGATGTTGCGTCAGCAACTTGGTAGAGTTTCGGTAGCGTTTACCTCTAAGGACTTGGTGAGAATTGAAGTAGCATTTGGACTTCACTAGGAAAATAGAAAAATATATATCAAACACACAAGCAACACAAACATATGTAGGCAGGCGAGGGTTTCACAAGAGGTTGCCTGGGCGCTGCGAGTAACCCAACCCCACGAAAGTGGTGTGTGGGTGAGCGAACGCGCCTCGCCAATTTCTCAACCCAACTCAGCATCGACTTCTCGCTTCCGTGCACACCACTCCACCAACCTAGCAAAGAGTGGTGCGACTCTCAAGGAAGCACCAACAACTCCCACGGACTCTCACTTCTTCATGCGACCTCCATCGAACTCATTCGTCGGTGCCGAGTAGACTCAGTCGCTAGGCGTCGACCTGCCAAGTCAAAGGTCATCGAGGGCCCTTGCTGTTGTAGGGCCCTCTAACATGCCGTTCGTCGCGCATCGTTGCATGCCGTCTCAGAACGTCGCACGCCGATCGTCGCACGCGGTAACTTACCGCGTAATTGGGAAGTGCGGAAAGTAACCCTGAATACACTCTTGCACAACTTACCCGATAGTACACCCCCGGCACTTTTGAGTCAAGGTTTTAGAACTGCGTGGCGACAGTCACTGGCGTAGTAACTTCCGAGTCACTTTCCCGCGCCTTTCTGCACAAACTCAGTCAACCGTTTAGCAACGCCACCCGCATCTGCGCACATGCTAAACAGTCACGGGCTGCTCCACCCAAATGTTCACCTGCCCATACCGTGTCAACCAACTCGAAAGCGACGAGCACGTAACCCCAACTGCCAATCCGTACGGGCTTCCCCACGTGGCATACTGTTTCAACTCCCACGTCCACGTAAGCGTACATGCAGCAAAACGTACAGCAACCACAACCGTTGGATGGACACCCTGGTCACGCAATCACTACGGTACACGTGTCGCCTGTACATAAACTCGCATAGCACGTTACGCATTCGCGCACACAAACTCGCACATCCTTGCAAGCTCACCGCGCTCCGATCTGCACCGTACATCTGGTGGTCAAGCATCCTTCCCACACCGTACATTTGGATGCATCCCATAGGGCAGCAAACCGCATATCACGCCAACGGTAGCCACTACCCCTCATCCACGCGGCCTCACTCCACTTGCGCATCGTGCGTCCGCACCAGACGCGCCAATGCATAAACACCGTACACCTGAACCAATGCCACCGTTTCGTGCACTTCGCGAAAAGTCTCGCCTACCATTAGGGTTGCGCTCGCAACTAGATGACGACGACACCTGCGTCGTCCATCTGTATACATCGTAAACACCACCGACCTTCCACGTCACGCACAATTAATCCATCTTACCCGTACACTTGCAACCCGATCATGCTATCGCACAAACGGTAACCGGTTGCCCTACCCATCGTGGCTCACGTTTGCGACGTATGCGCGAACCACTCACAACCGTGCATTTGTCGCACCCGTATAGCATATCACAGCGCACATCCCACCGTCGGCCTCATCTTCACGCTCGTCCACGATTGTGACACGGGTGTACAAGCGCGTGCCACCCTCCCATACCATTGGCTCCACGTCATCCCTTAGCCTTGTTGCGGTCCAACCAGATGTCCACTTACGCGCACCGCTGCGTCCTTTACGTCCAACGTACAGGTGACACATGGCACACACCGTAAAATTCGCCGCAGAATGCGGCGCATCCCTCTCCGTCCCGCACATCTGGGCGACGGCGGGTTCGCTGTGGCATGCACCATATAGTTTCTGTTATGTGCTGTCATATGCGAGCAATACCCCAATTGAAGCTTTTCCCATTAACAACAAACGGACACACAAACATACAACGCCTCCACGCCTATGTCTAACCCCCCCACATCTTCAACACTGACACATGCTTAACCCAGGTGCGCGTTCCACAGCTACACATAACCCTGTCACACAGCCGCAAATCATCGTACACACGCAGCCAATCTACTGTCCCCGCAACGGTAAAACCCACGCTTCCCCCATCCCCTCCACGCCAGCCGTCCTACTCATCCCCCACGGATGCCGAAAGGTCGTCGTCCCCCACTGGCTCCTCCGGCTGGGCTGCGCCGGCGGGCCTCATGTGCTCCAGGCCGCACGCAGAGATGCGCAGACCATGGCGCCCCCAGATCCACGCCTCCCGCTCCGCGTCATACTCCGAGTTGCGGATCCTGATCGCCCTCTATACGGCCTCCTTAACCAGGACCTTGAGGCCGTCCACAACGTGGGCGTTTCCGCCGGCCGAGTTGGAAAGCCGGCCTTTCCTCTGCTCCCAGTAGAGGACGCAGTCGGAGACCTGCGCCATCACGCATCGTGTCACTCAAATGGTCCGACGTAAACAACACAGATGCATGGCACACATAGAGCGCACAGACTCACCACATGCTCCAACCAGGCCAGGTGGTACACCTTCAGCGTCATCACCAGGCCGGCCTTCTTGGGCCTGAATGCAGCCTTCGCACATGTCGCGAACGCCCGAGAGGCGAACGGCATGCCATCCCGGTCTGTCGCCCATGTCGTGAGCACCAGTGTTTCTGCATTCCCACGTGCATGCAGGTCAGTGTCAACGGCCGTCACGCACGAGGGTGACAGCATAACGATGCGGTGGCAAGCCTGGTTGCTGGGGTAGACCGCACTCACCAGGGGGGTCAGCGCCGAACCCAATGCGCTCCCGGATCTTCTCAATACTGCGTTCCTTCTCCGGTGCCCATGGGCTGGATGCGTCCCGATCGTCGCGGAACAAGCCGAGCTTGGGAAGTGCAATGTCGCGCACGCGGGCGGCAGCCCGCGTCTTCCACTCAGAGAGTGTCTTGTTGAGATCAGCGCGACGCGACTTGTCAGCCGCCAACGCCAAACAGGCGAAGCTATGCGGCAGGCGGTCCAGCACCGCACACACCCCGTGTGTCTTGTCGTCGCTGCTCGGGTAGAAGGTCATCATCGACGTCGGCCTGTTGAGAAACATGTGCACCCTGGCCAGCTCGCACACCCGCTGCGCACATAAGGTATACACAACAACATGAGTGGCGCACACCGGTATGCATGACGGTTGAATAATGGAACCGGACGGGAACGGGCCCGCTCACCTTCCACGCCTTGTCCGCAGGCAAATGCTCCAAGGCGCGCTGCAGAATAGGAGACCTGGCCGTGCGCATATGACGGCCACCAGATCCATGTGTGTCGTCATCGTCGTCCTCGCCGTCATCGTCTGACCCGCCACTCCACGTCTCGCCACGCTTACGCTTCGGGTTCATACAACCCTGCCCCGGGTCTCTCTGCCTGGTCGCCTTACGCTTATGAGAGCCACTGGACGGCCGAGACATCGCATTCAAGAACAGCGCCTCCAACCGCGCGTTCTCCTTGGCGCTCTTGTCCTGAGCCTGAATGAGTTGCTCGAGGATACGGCTCGGTATGCGCACGTCATCGCTGTTGGCGTCCACTGTGTCCCAGCGTGTGGGTCCCACCAGTCCGTCCACGTCGTGATTAGCGCGAGTGTCAGCGTTGGCCGCGGATGGTCCCGCACGCCCATCGTCGTCCGTCTTCCCCCCCTTAGCGGGCTCGGCTGATTCTTCGCCTGATCCTGATGCCGACGTGTCTCCGCCTTCCTCGTCCTCATCCTCGCTGCGCTCGGACGAATCTGCACTCTCCGCCCCAGTGCCGTCATCTGTGGGTGACAGAATGACAACAGGCGCACAGAACCGCAAGTTAGCATACGCGCGCAACAACCGCCGCGAACGTCGTGACTGATCCACTCATGATCGTAATGCATACCTTCCTCTGGCTGCACCACCTCCTTCCCCTTCTTGCGGAAGCTCAGGCTCTTGGGTAAGGGCGCCCCACGGTTCCCGTTGGACAGTCGACCTCGCGGCATCGTCAACTGGTATGACGCTCGCAGGTACGCAGGCGGGAGCGAGACACGACGGGAGCGTCCCCCAGCTCGGGTATCCTCAGAAGCAATTGAGGTATCCATTGAAGCAACTGAAGTATCCAGTGAGATGCGCACATAATGACGCGATAACCACTTTTCTACGTAGCGGTGAGATGCTCAGCTTCCATGACACTCCGCTGCACCGAATACATGAGGAGGTTGGTACCCAATACTGCCTCGTACACATCTGGATGACCGCAATCCAAAACCCCCAATTACAGAACACCACGTCACTCGCACATTGACGGGTGTCCACCCCCGAACCATACACTGCGCACATCATGTGGTCACAACATTGTCCACATACCTTCATTGTGTGGACACTCGTCACGGAACTGGTTCCGGTATTCGTTGAGGCCCTTACTCACTTAAACATGTAGTACACCAAGTTCACGATTGCATTACCAGCTAACGGTGTTTGTCGTTCATACTTTGCACGCACAAGACTCTTCATTCCAAATGCAACATTATCCGAAAGCTACACAAGGGTGAGCAACTACGTGCACGGACATGTTTCAACCACACATTGACTCCACACCAATTATGCAGCCATCTCTGATGTCTTCTCCTCAGCTCCAGTGTCTTCCCTCCGCTCTTCCTGGTCATTGTCCCTTGCACCTCCGCCTTGCTCGTTTGTCACTGGGGCCGTCCCCCCACTCTCAGCATTGTCGGTTGCCGCTGGGTCGTTGGTAGCTGTGTGGTCGTGGTCCACAACCCTGCGCCTCTTTGATGCACCTGTTGCACCCCCACGCTTCCTCACTCGTTTCAACCGCTGGCCCACGCTCTCCAGCGCCTCACGCCAACTCCTCCACCTCCACCACTTCCTCGCTTCCACCAGGGTCTGTAAATCTTCTTTGGTGCACCCCCGCAGCGTTGCCTTCTCTGCGGCCGACAGGCTGACGGTGTTGGGTATCCTCTCGCTAGGCCTCAGCACGAACGCACCGGCGGCGTATGCAAATGCCGCCTCCTCCTCAGTGGTGTACCCTCCCAGTCTCTGCTGCTTGCGCTTCCCACGTTCTTTAAACAAAATCTTGACGCAGTACTTGCCGGTGTTCGGATCCAGCTTCACACCCGTGTACCTGGTTGCACTTGTATCTTCGCCACCGTCCTCGTCATCTGAGTCTGACACGAGATCCTCCTCTTCGTCGGCCTTCGCCGTCTCCTGCCCAAGCCTGTCTCCCCACACGTCAGGTCCAGCTGGCACACCCGTGCCGGACAGCAGCCGCGGGCGCGTCAACATCCAGGGAGGTATGGCCCCGTTCGAGATCAGCGGGTTCTGCAGCAGGCTCGGTGTCGGCGCACATGCGGCGAACGTGGGGCCAGCGCCACCTGGGTGAGGTTGCGCACGCCGTCCTCCTCAGGACTGCTGTCATCTCGCCTCTTCCGGGCAGACGGACGCTGGGGTGTGCGTGGCGCATGCTTGTTGCCACCCGCCTCTGTTTTCGTGCCGTTCCCCGCGACCCCTCCATGCAGCAGCAGTTGGGTTGCAGCGGACACCACCTCGTCCCGGCTCAGGCCCACGAAGTTGGCGATCACGGTGAAGCTGGCGTCCAGGTACCTCACATCGTTATGCAGCGATGCTATGCGCCTCGTCATCTCCGTAAACCGAGCGTCCTCATCATGGCGAGTGTTTGGCGCCTGCCTCCCATCTCCCTCCGCAGTGTTTCTCACCTGCACCACTGTCCCCTCTGCGGTAACCAGGCCTTCGTCTTGCGGCGGGACTTCAATCCCCAGTTCCTGTAGTTGTTTCAGAAGCTCTCCGCCAGCGTGTGCACACAAGTCTCGGCGCATCTCCCGCCTGTATTGGTGCGGTGTCACACCCTGGAACCAGAGGCCCGAAAACACCGTGGCGAAGTCGGTATGCACCAGGGTCTTGAGGTACTGACAAACAAAAATCCCACAGTCCTCCTTGTTCGGCTGCTGTGGCAGCTTATCCTCCTGTCATAAGGGTAACGAATACCGAAGTTATCAGTATGCACACCTGTGTATGCAACCAGCACAGCTGTGTACAGAACGAACGAGGCGTACTCACCCGTAGAATTACGCAGTCCGCCGCGCTCAGCGTCCTGTCCACAACCTCCATGTTAGCGTTTGGGTTACTCGCCTTTGCGAGTTCGGACAGCAACCTGCATACAAGAGTTCGTCCGGTATTAACAAAATTGAGCATGGACGTATATGCTATGCGCTTCGTTATGCCGAAACCCCTACTCACAGCTTCGTGCCTGCGAAAATCTTGTGGCTATTTCGATTCTTGATCGCGCTGTCCAGCAAGACCAAAGTCAGGCGCTCCTTGCCCTTGGTTCTCTGCGTCTTGGTGAGCACCGATGGGTTTATAGCGATGACGAGGGAATAGTGCTCACTGCGCGCAAGAAGATTGGGGTGAAACGGGATCGGTGTTAAACAGCAGTCGGTTGCACATCACGGAAACCAACCGGGAACACTGGTAAGATGAGTACACTCACGACTCTAGGACCGGGATCGCAAGATAATCGTGTTCCAAAAGCGGCCGCCCACTCCCCAGCGTTAACGGCACTCCATGCGCAGCTGTCGTCTGTGAATAGGCCTTGCAGTCCATGGCGGCCCATGTCTTGCCGTCGCGGAGCGACGGCTTCCTGATGCTAAGCAGCCTGCGCAGAGGTGAACACGAACAAGTTAACACACCGTGCTACAGTGAATTCGCAGAAAATCGTACAAAAGCGCGCGCATGTGCGGGGCGGTCAGCACGGTACTTACACGTTGTGAAAGTCCACCACGCCATCGGTGATCCACTGTTCGTCCTCGATCGACATGAAGTCGTCCTTGTCCACCTCACATCCGACACCGCGGTTATTCATGAGCCTGATGTTGCGGTAAGATGATTTCGCATAGTTCCGGGCGATAGCGGCCACGACATCGTCCGGCACCGGCTCTGTCGCCTTTTCCACGACATGGGTCGCGAACCTAGAAGCCCTTCCGCCGTCCTTTGTCGGCGGACACGGAGGTGATTTTTTGTCGCCCTTGGTCGACGCTCTGGTTCTGGGAACAGACGGGTCAGGATCTTGGTCATCGCCGCTGCTGCTAGTCTCCGGTTCATGGAACCGGTTGCGCTTAGAGACAGACTGTTTAGGAATCGCCATCAAGAACGGACACTGAATACCATGCGGAGGAGGCCGGCCTTAATACGAGGTGAGCACGGAGGGGATGACTGGGAGAACACAGCCACTCACGGATCTCGCCTGGAGGGAAGTACTCTGATTGACGGGTGGGCCAAGATGTCGCCTATAACCTGGTGGGTGTTGGGCATGCATAGGCGAAATGGTATACACCGTTGGATGAGATGCGCATGCGATGTCCACCTGTGACTCGATAACGAGACTGGATGTGATGGTGAGGCAGCATGCATATCCACGTGTTGTAAACCAAGGGGTTCGGAACACGAGGATGCGAGATTTAGGGTGGGTCAGCAATTCTGGTGCATGGAACACCATTTGGTTTTCCGGTACAATCCAAGTGACGCGGAATCCGATAACGGCGTACGCGGACGTCAGCACTTGGGTTGTTGGGCCACCAGCGCGCACTAAGTATGGGTTGTACACGATGTAGTCGTGTACTCTTAAAAGCGGAAGTAAAATTTGTAGGTTGTCGTAAACAATATTGCAATATGCATAACGGGTATATTACTTACATAAGAAATAAGACACAACGTCTTATGGAGCCAACTGTGTACAATCCCACAACGTCAGTTATTGGCTATTTCTATTTCTGGTCGTACTAATGACCGCGCTGATAATTCCGGGGAGTGTTATTTACCGGACCACCGTTACACATTCTGCAATTATAATATGGTTGTGCATTATGGTTGGGTGTATAATGTTTACCGGTGACAATCGAACAGATGGTATGTGCACACTTTTCAAGGTTCTGTGCACATGAGTGTGCACCATGTTGATCCTCTGAGTTGTGTTAGAGCACACCTGTGGCCAGTCCGAGTTTCTATCGCCACGGTCTCTAGGGTTTCAAGGTTGCAGGATGACGGGGAACAGTTGCATGGTGTGCGAGACGGTGTTTAAGGACGACAGCCGGTTACAGTCACATGTCGCTAACGGTGCAATTTGTCGCGCAGAGTTGAAGAGGAAACGGGAGAGTCTTTTGTTGGCGGCATATTTGGAAGCAATTGCCCGTGACGGAGAGAGTAGACCAAACACACCGCCCGCATCGCGGCTTAAGGATAATGACGGCAGTGTTGTATCGGTTGCTCCGACCGCCTCTATTCCCGAAGTTAGCCTCGTTAGCGTCGCGGATACACCAACTGACGGCGAGAATGCGGAGTCATCGGAACACAGCGAGAGGGCGGAGATTTTCGACACACTGACCGAGTTGTATCTATTCTTCCGTGACGCCGATCTTTCGCACCGGGAAGTTAACCGTCTGTTACACATTTTCCGCAACCCGCGCTTCAACTTACGGGCCCTCCGACGATGGCGCAACTGGGTGGACGTGCGCCGATGGGGAATGGCGCGCGCTCCACCAGACATGGTCCCGTGGAAAACGGAGGAGATAGTGGTGCGGGGCCCCAAAGGAATGCAAATGAAGCTGCTACTGCACTACCGCGACACAGAGCTGGTTCGTAAACGGCGGCCACACCCGCATCCCCCGTCGTCGTCACTGGGAAGGAATCTTGCCGCTCACTCCTGATTATATCCCGATGCGCGCAGATTCTGAAGAAGCTGGTGCGGACGTTCTCATCCAAGAAAGGGTTCGTGTGGAAACCTAAGAAGATTCATCGGAAGAAGAATGGCGAGAGGGTATTCGAGGGGCCGGAGACGGGCGATTGGATGCACGCTGCTCAGGTAAGTGCATCGGTAGGCCAGTCCACATTACATGTGAGTCCCAGAATGCTATAAGACGGAGTCTAACATTTGTGCAAGGGCATGTATGGTTGGCATGGCAGAAGGAGATTAATGACAGTGAGGCACTCATACTAGGCGTGCTGATATACAGTGATAGCACCCAGGCATCACGGAATGGTCGGAGGAACGCGTGGCCGGTGCTGATCTCGCTTATCAACATACCAGCGGAATTACGTGGGGTGGAGCCTGGGCACACGTTGGCGGCGGTGCTGCCATTCCCACCCGAATGGGCATCGCCCACGGAGAAGACGCGGGTTTTCCAGGAGGCATTGAAGATCATCCTCGCGCCCATCATGCGAGAATCTGCAAGGTACTGAGGTGCATATGCTACACGAGCAGCAGGCCAGTGGGGACCCCAGCAGATATTGCCCCGTGTTATGACCGCGTATTGTGTGTACGTTCCTAACCTAACTCACGGCCACGTGTGCATCGTCACAATGTGCAGCGGGCCAGTTCGCTTCTTCTACTGCACGGACGCGGACGGGAAGGTGCACAAAGCGGTCCCTTGCCTGTACGGATACCCTGCCGACTTTCCGGAGTCCAGCAGAGCTTCTGCGACTCTTCAGCAGGGGACGCACCGGCCGTGCGCTAACTGCTATGCAGACAAGGGGGAGTTGACCATGATGGTGGGGAAGGCCGATCCGCGTACCCCCGAGATGCAGAGGGACATTGTCCGCCAGATCCTGGCGTGTAAGAAGAAGGGCGACGCTGACGCCGTGCGGAGGCTATGGTCAACACATCCGATCGAGGTGGGCTAAACCCTGAGGGCGTTTGCGTGCCTGTAGTGTACGGTGGAACCTAATGACGCGGTGGTGTCTTTGGTTGGACATTGCAGTGCGTACTTCACAGGTGGAATTTCGCGGACACAGAGTGGGGCAACGTGTATCTGGCATGCCTTGCAGACACACTGCATGTTCTGGACTCCGGTGTGCTGATCCACATGATGGACACCTACATCGAACCGCTTGGGAAGGTTGAGATGCGGACGCTTGAACGGTGAGCAGACTGTAGCCTGCATGTCATATCCTGGTGGGGTCATTTGGGTTGTAGTACACCATGTGTGCAGCGCTGATGGGCACGTCGAATACTTGGTGTGCGCAGACGCAAGAAGGAGTTTAAGGCCATCACGCCTAGCGTGCTCCTCCGAATCCCAGGGGGCTCATCGTTCTTCAGTTCCGGCGCAAACTACGCTGCGTTCGAGCACAGGAGCATGATGCAGATAATGCCGATCTTGGTGGCTGACGAGAGCGTGTTGAAGGGTGATGAACCGGGAGAGCTGCGCGCGTTGCAGGTCAAAGCGTTCAGGCTGTTTGCTGTGTTTTACAAGGCGTTTCTGGCTGTGGACCGGCACACACATACCACCATTGCGATTGCACGGCAGCATGCGATAGCGTAAGTGTGTGCATTAGGTGCATCGCTGGTCGGAATTGCGGTGGGTTTGTTGTGGCGGCCGTCGGGTGGCACACGAGTGTGCATTGACTGTTGCCTGCCATCGTGGACGATGTGGCAGGTTGGTGGCGTTGCTCCCGAGAGCATTTCCAAAGCAGGCATCCCACTGGAGACTACCAAAGATACACATGATAAGACATTTACTGGACAACGTGGTGGAGCGCGGGATGCCGCACCATTATTCCACTGAGATGTGGGAGCGCACGCACAAGGGCACGGTCAAGGGTCCAGTTAGAGGGAGCAACTGGAGCGACATTCCGCGCCGAATCGTGGAGGAGGAGGTGCAGAGAGAGGTGTACCGTGAGGTGGCTGCAGACGCCGGCGGTGGGCGGCAGTATGCGTCTGCATTGCGCGAGGTGCGTAGGGGAGTGGTTGGTGCTACGATGGCCATTCATTGTGTAATGTTGCACGGGTGCCCATGTACGAGCGGAGCCTGAGGCAGGTTGCGGCTTGTTGTGGGAACGTGTTGTACACGTGCAGGCAATCAAGACGAGGAAACCGGTGCTTACAAAGAAGTATCGGATCATGCGCATAGGCGGGGCGTCGGATCCGGTGTACGATGAGTACACAGCCGCGCTTGGAGACGAGATGAAGGGGATGGCCGCGGAGTTTAAGGCGTTGGACCTGGCTACCAACAACGTGCAGGTGTGGTGATAATGCTGTCGCACATACATCTCGCACCTGGGGGTTGCACGTTGGTTGCCACTGCACTCATGATGCTAAGAGATGTTGGATTGTACACAACCGCGTGACAGGTCCACACCGCGGTGGCCATTCCGCGCACAAGAGGCGGCGAGCTGGTGGCCAAAGGGACGTTTGTGAAGGCATCTCCACGAGAGAGGTGGTACTCGAACGTGGCACTTCTGAACAACAAGAAGGGGGACTGGTATGCAAGATGTCTGTGCATCTTCAGGGCGCTTGACCGTGATGGGGAGTGGAAGGGATACGCATACGTGAGGTACTACGAGAGGGCGGGAAGCTGCAAGCTTACAGGGTGCACGCAGCTGCACAAGAAAGTGGAGAAGGTGAGGTATTCGGTGGTGGAGCTGGGCAGCCTGCAGAGAGTTGTGCACGTGTGCCCGTCGTACAGCAACAACAAGGTGCAATTAGTTAACAGGTTTTTGCTATGTGAGTGACGGCACGTGTTGGTATGGTGGAACTTAGGAATGATGGGTACAGGATTGCAGGGAGTGTAGTCAACTGTGGTGGGATGTTTATACTTTGGGTGGTTCAGGTTAGTGTTGACGCTGATGTGTCGCCACATATTGTGATGAATAAATGTGATATGGTGTCCGTGGGTGTACATTGGCATTTTGTGCATGGGTACGCGGTGGCAACCCTAAACCCGAAACGTATATGTTGGTGTTTAAACAGTGAGGTTATAGTGGTAGCGGTCAGTAAACCCGGCCTATAACGGGTCTTGGTACGGTTGACGCTTGTGCGGTCGAAGTTGACGCGCTTCAATGTGTGGTGGTGTGACCGACCGAACACCCGCCGTTGGTTGGTCGGATACGGGTGACGCGTACGTGGCTTCGATTCGCGAGGTGGCCTATCTGAATGTCACAGGTGGCCGTTTCACATGTGTCCGTTATCTTGGAGCGGCGCAGGAGTTGTGCTCGCAAACTTGTGTGGCGCTTGTCAACCCTCGTACGTAGTGTGCGTACGAGGGCAAACCGGGGTACGTTCCAGTGAACTACAACGTATATAGCAAGACTGGGTGCCATCCCCCAACGCATACTTGCCCACCTGGGTGACACACAGCTTCAATGGGTGACCTGAAGGGACTGCTGGCTACTGCGCACCCGGACGATGTGTTCTGCTTCCACGAGATTAATTTTCTTCCGAGCCGCCTCCCGAAGACATACATTCCAGACAAGCGTAATGTTTGCGAGCGGATTGTCAGCATCGGCATTCTTTACAACGCGACGGGCAGTTGTTCCGCGGTGCCACTGGTGGTCCTATCGCCGTACGATAGGCCCGAGCGCAGGCGGGGGCGCGCGGCATCGCGCATGGTGGCAGTCCGATATACGCACCGCGGCCGGTTGACTCCGGAGGTAGGTGACAATTACACCTCGCTGTGCACCATGTCTGTGTCATGTTTGCAACGTACATGTGTGGGCCGACACACTGATGGTGTTGTGCTGTCGGTGTATGATGCTATGCTCGCAGGTGTTCACGGAGTTTGTGGAGACTGTCAACGGTGTGCACTTTAGTCGTGATCGCAACACACTCATCCTAACCATACACGAGGCGCATCGCATCACCGACGAGGTCGCGCGCCCCGTCTCGGAGCACGGCTTCAGTGTGCAGCACCTCACCAACACCCGTGTCGTCAACATACGTGGGTCGGTGAAGGGGGCCTTCCGCACCTGCAGGGAGTGGAGGACGCGCTGAAGGCCCATTACCGCGTTATGCTGATGAAGCGGGCGATCGCGGCGAAGCGGTTCCAGTTCGACTATGCCGCTTCTATCGCCGACGTGGACTACGGACTCATGCTGGAGTGGCTGGGGGAATCGTGGACCCGTGTGCGCGCTGCAACCATGCAGAGGAGCTGGTGGCGCGCCGGATGCGTGCCGCCGAGCTGGCCGCCGCTGATGGCGTACCTGAACGACACCAGCGCGACGGGCATGTTTGAGCCGCTCATTGCGACTTGCGTCGAGCTGCAGTTGCTCATCGAGAAGTTTAAGATGAGGCCTGCGTGCTACATGACGGCGGCGGAGTTCGTCAACTGCGACGCGGGGCTCTGCGTGGAGCAGGGGTTCGTTGCCACACCTGCTGCAAGCGCGTCGGATGACTCGTCGGGCGAGATGAGCCTGCCAGACGGCCCGCTGCTGCGGGACGAGCGCAGCAGGCGGCGCGTCATTCGCAACGTCACAAACGCGTACGTGGAGCGTGCCGATGAGCTCGGCATTCCCCCGGCCCTCGTGCCAGCAGAGGTCGGCGCATCTAACCAGGAGGTGATTTCCCGCCTCGGCAGGACGCCAGTTAAGCGTGCGCGAGCGGGGCTGCGCACGGAGGACATGGCAGGCCCTTCGGAGCGCAAGGACGAGGACGACGAGTGATGCAGTTGGTTGAAGTTGTGCGGTGTGTGCGTTGTGCGTGGTGTGCGTAGTTGGCGTTGTGTGTGTGCGGTACCGTACGCCTGTGGATGACGGGGTTGGGGTTGTATTGCTGTTGTAATAGTGCTTGGAGGATTTTAATGAAAATGGATGAGTTGGGGAACCTTGTGAGACATTTGACGGTACGCGTGAACTTCGTTTACGGTCCGATGTTATAAGTTGACACAATGGACTCACCGCGGTCACCATAACGCGGGAATTTCATCGGGAAATTTGTGCACACGTTCGCGACTCGGGGTGTAGGTGTGCGCTCCGGGAATTCGATAGCTTTGCGACAAGGAAACTGTAATGTCAGTTTTTTGTGTCTGATGTACGCGCGCGTTTCCGGTGTTCAGAATGTTGCGATTTGCGTGCGTTGTTTTACCGCAGCTTTCCGCAACATTCACGCAAGGCAGAGGCAGAAAAACCTTCGGGGGCCAAAAAACGCAGTTTTCCTTTTTCGCGATGAAGTCGCCATCATCCGCACACCGGCGCACGGGGAACATCGCCCGCGCTACGTCGAATGCCGTTTGTCGCACATCGTCGTATGCGCCATGTTTCCCAGCATCCGCACGGCGCCGCATGCGGAACGTCACCATCTTCCGCACACCGTACGCGGTTGGCCGCCGTCTTCCACACACGGTCAACCGCGTGAAGTCGTAATTGTCCACACACCGTCGCACAGGGAACGTCGCACGCGGTTCGTCGCCATCTTCCGAACATCGTCGCATGCAGTATGTCGCCAGCATCCGCACAACGTCGCACGCGGAAGGTCGCACGCAGTGTGTCGCCGTCTTCCGCATGGTTGCGCGTAATTCGAAATTCGCCACTTGTAGCTACACGATCGCCGCACGTTGCCAGCCGCTGACTTCGTCGCTAGCCGTTCGCCATTCGCTGCTCGCCGCTCGACATTCGCTAGTTGCCAATCGCCGCTATCATTGCTCGTCCGCTTGTCTTTCGCCGGTCGTCAGGTTGCACCCTGTTGCTCGGAGTAGTTAACCCATTAGTTTCCGTCTCTGTGTCGATTGTCACTGTGTCGCCGTGAGTCACCGTGACGCCGGATGCCGGTTGCCTTGAGACTGCTTCCGTCGTCCCGAAGGTGCTTCTCTTCAAGAAAAGATCATTACTACGGGTGCCGGATGCCGGTCGCCTTGATACTTGAGATTCACTCGCCATTCTGACCATTACGGCGGTAATCTGACGTGAATTCCGTCAACCTAAGTAGCGTTGCGGAAACTAAAACAGTGGGATTTCCTTAGCGGTTACGAATCATAGGTATTGCGGTTATAAGGAAAGAGGCAAGCAGTTAAACATCAGCCTATCAGTTCTCCCACTGGGACAGACTTATCAAGATAAGCCACTACTGTCATAAACCTTCTTAAGAATATGATCTATTCGCAATAGGCTACATCTCTGAGAGATTTCGACAGCAGCCATGGCGAGTTGAGAAAGCACGAGCTAACGCTGACTGAAGAATCAATGAAAGGAATGGAGGGACTAGAATTCGGCAGAGGTGACTGGAACAGCCTTGGGAATGTCGCCGGGGTTGACTTGGTCTCAACATAAGAGAGGCTGCGTGGACTTGCTGGAGGGAGGCGACGACAGGCGAGAGGGAGTCGCCAAAACAGAGGCTTCCGCTGGTCTCCACCCGCCACGCAAACATTTCGCGAGCAAATGACGAAGTAGTAACCCGAGGAAATTGGGCTCGGATGACTTTCGCCACCGGCATGGAGTCCAAAGCAGCCGCTAAACGGCGCTGGGCTGGGGTCCTGGTATTCAGACGAAGCGCAGTATTTGAATGTTCTGCGCGGGAGACTTCTGCAGCAGGTGTCCAGGAAAAGGTTCCGCCGCAATATTTTGGGTCATCGCTGCAAGTTTCCAATCAGTCACTATACAGTCATTTTGTAGTGTAGACTTCTTTCTGGCTTATGCCAGCATCGCAAAACAAAGAAACGACATGCAGTAGATTCTTATCCAACATAACTTTCACTACCAGACATTCTATAGGAACACATATATGAGGACTGAAGGCCTTAATGAGTTGAATTTACCGGTAATACCAGTAAAACGACACAAACAACGCGACAGCACACTATCTGTTTGCTTGGATGGCCAGCCTGCCAGCTCGTCCTGGTCTTCCCTAATTTCTTGACTCTCTGCCTCACCACCCGCCACATGCACCCATGTTACCATGTGCCTGTGTCACACGTAACCTACATCTCTGCTGCTACCATGCACCACTGCCAGCAGAGGCATGTGAGGAGGAGGCAGAACTGCCACTGCCAGCAGCATCCTGTCTGCTCCACATATCCGCCAGCAGCTGGTACCCCCAGCTCTAACACCCGTCCCTATGCCCCACCACCCCTGCCTTGCAGCAATGCTACCAGGCACCTGTGCCACATGCCCCTTGCATCTCTGCTGCTACCATGCACCTGGGTCACCAGAGGAATGTGAGGAGGCAGCACTGCCACTGCCAGCAGCCTGTCTGCTCCACATATCCGCCAGCAGTTGGTACCCCGAGCTCTTATACCCGTCTCTGTGCCCCACCACCCGTGCCTTCCCTCCCGCCGTCGCACCCCTCCCCGCCCCACCCTTCCCACTCGCCCCTCCACCACCACCAGCAGCACCACCAGCAGCACCAGCACTGCCGCCGCTCTCAAGCTCAAGCAGCATGTGGGAGAGGAGGTCAGCAGGGGACTCTACCAGCCGCAGCTCCTCGTCGCTCTCGTACCCCCTGTCGAGAGCCAGACCAGAGGAGCCCGCATGCGGCAGGTGCAGCAGACGCACGGAGCCCAGGAGCAGGCGCACGGATGGCGAAGGGGGCGGGTTGTAGAGCGTGGCGGGGAGAGGAGCGATGTCGGTGGAAGGATTGGATTTTCCCCGTCGCGACTCGCTGTGCACCTGATGGTGAGAGGAGGGGAGGGCGAGCATGGGACGAGTGATTCTGTCAGGTGAGGGCGAATGATGTGGGGTTGTGAGGAGGGGACGTGGCGAGATGGAGAGGCATGGCATGATGGGTCTGGTGCGTTGGCACCGGAAGAGGCATGGTGGCGCATCGACATCCAATCCCCAGATATGGTGTGTTCTATGCATCCAACTCTCATCTCACTGTCATATCGGACTGGCCTCTCCCTATCAACCCCCACTCACCTCGCTGTTGAGCTGCTGCAGAAGGGTGGAGGAGACGGGGTCGGGTGCATTGGCATCGGGAGCAAATATGAGGAGAATGCGCCGCAGCAAGGCCAGTGTCAGATCACCACACACCTGTTGTCATGTGTGCACACACACATACACACATGCGAATGCACACCCACACCCACGAGCACATGCACATGCACATGCACATGCACACACGCACACGCACACAGACTCGCATGATAGATCAATTTTTGCAAAGTGTGATGCATGTGATGCAAGTGGTCTATGTGGTGCATGTGATGCATGTGATGCATGTGATTCCATACAACACATTCCTCTCACCTCCTTCCTTGCCTCCTGGTCGGCCAGCAAGTCCTTAGGCAGCAGCAGCACCTGCGCCATCGCCCTCAGCTTTGGAAAGCACTCCCCTGGACCCCCTGTCACTGCCACTGCCGCCCCCGCTGCTGCGGCAGCACTGGGGGGAAAGCGAGGGGAGGCGGGGTGAGCGGCGGAAGAGGCAGAGGAGGAGGAGGAAGAGGAGGAGAAGAAGGATGGGGAGGAGGAAGGGGAGGGGTCGGAGGGGTCGAGAGCTCCAGCCCAGAAGGCCGTGGTGGTGGCAAGGAGGGAGGAGGAGAAGGGTGGAGGGGTGGGGAGCGGTGCGGAGGGGTTGGGCTGGGAGGATGCGAGGAGGTAGTCGATCTGAGCGTGCATGTGAGCGTCAAGGTCGTGAAACATGGTGGCCCATGCTGATGTCTGGCACAGGGTGAGGGGGACAAGCGAGGGAAGAGAGGGGGGTGGAGGGGGTGGGAGGAGTAAAGGGGGGGATGTAAGTCAGGGCAAAGTACAGAGCAAGCGCAAAGGCTGCTGCATTACATGTAGTGTAGGTGCTGTGAGACCAAGGCATGGCATGTGGCGCGATGCAATGCAACGCTGTGAGTGACCCATGTATGGTGTTCCATGTGTCCTACAACAATTGGAATCAACCTTCTAAGTCAATCTACATCAGCTGAGAGTCGGTCAACGTGAGTCGCGTTCGGTCAATGCAAATCAGAAACGGTCAACGCGAGGGAAGGCGGATGGACGAGGCAAGGGGGGAAGGCGAGGGAAGGCGAGGGGAGGAGAGGCGAGGGGAGGAGAGGCGAGGGGAGGAGAGGCGAGGGGAGGAGAGGCGAGGGGAGGAGAGGCGAGGGGAAGGGAGGTAAGGGGACTGACGGCGTATTTGAGGTGCATGCCATGCGAGTAGGTGAGCTTGCCCGTGGCTGTGAATGGCAGGGCTGCAGGCTCGGTGACAGGGTCGGCAAGAGGTTCGGCGGGCGGCGCGTCAGGGTTGGAGCGCAGGAGTGCGTTGAAGATTGCAGAGTCAAGGCGGAGCAGACAGTGCTCTAAGACCTGGTGGGGGGGGGGGGGGGGGATGGGGGATGGTACGGTATGGGGTATGGAAGATGGGATCGATGGTGGACTCGAGTTTTGGCACATCTCAAACTGGGAGAGTGCTGAGTCAAGGCAGAGCAGACAGTGCTCTGGTGAGATGGGATGGGATGGATGGAATGGGATGGTGATGGCATCATGGTATGGTATAGGGGATGGGATGAGGGATGGGATGGTGTGACACACTGTGTTCAAGAAAGCAAGCTTAAAACGTCTACCGACTACAGGCAACAACCCAGGCTGTACCTTGGAGAAAAGGGCCCACCTGCTTCTGAGAAACGCACCCACCTGCTTCTGAGAAACGCACCCACCTGCTTCTGAGAAACGCACCCACCTGCTTCTGAGAAACGCACCCACCTGCTTCTGAGAAACGCACCCACCTGCTTCTGAGAAACGCACCCACCTGCTTCTGAGAAACGCACCCACCTGCTTCTGAGAAACGCACCCACCTGCTTCTGAGAAACGCACCCACCTGCTTCTGAGAAACGCACCCACCTGCTTCTGAGAAACGCACCCACCTGCTTCTGAGAAACGCACCCACCTGCTTCTGAGAAACGCGCCCACCTGCTTCTGAGAAACGCACCCACCTGCTTCTGAGAAACGCACCCACCTGCTTCTGAGAAACGCACCCACCTGCTTCTGAGAAACGCACCCACCTGCTTCTGAGAAACGCACCCACCTGCTTCTCCAACAGGTACAGGCAGCCGCAGCATCGCCCCATGGCACGCTGCGGGCAGAGGCTGAAGGACGCATCGTGCAGCACCGCTCTCCACCGCTCCACACCCACCAGCTTGCTCCACCACGGAGCCCTCTCAGCGTCTGGTAGGAAGAGGGGTGTGGGATGGGAGGAGACGGGTTGATGAGAGGAGAAGAGGGTGTGGGATGGGAGGAGATGGGTTGATGAGAGGAGACGAGGGGTGTGGGATGGGGGGAGATGGGTTGATGAGAGGAGAAGAGGGTGTGGGATGGGAGGAGATGGGTTGATGAGAGGAGAAGAGGGTGTGGGATGGGAGGAGATGGGTTGATGAGAGGAGACGAGGGGTGTGGGATGGGAGATGGGTTGATGAGAGGAGACATATTGGTAAGAGGAGACATATTGGTAAGATGAACTTGCAGAGGTAGCGGAGAAACTCATAGAAAGCATGGCCAGACTTACTCACCCCATCCCCCCCTCGCCTCCCCGCCTCACCTCCCACTCCTCCTGCCACGGGCGCTGCCGGCTTCTTCTGGCCGCCCAGCCCCAGTGCGCCGCCCACGGTGCTGCCGCCCGGCCAGGGCAGGGAGGAGGCACTGGTAGAGGCGGCAGAGGCGAGGGAGGAGAAGAGAGACGAGGCGGCCGACAGGGTGGACGCGGAGGAGGAGAGAGAGGGGGGCTGGGAGGTGGGTGAGCGGCGTAGGGCGGGAAGGAATACCTGGGGAAGGGAGAGAGTGGGGATGAGGGGATGAAGGGGGAAGGAGGGGATTTAGCATGTGATGTATGTGACAAGGACAGACATACACGGAGGCACTCGTAGAGGTGGCAGAGGCGAGGGAGGAGAAGAGAGAGGAGGCGGCTGACAGGGTGGACGAGGAGGAGGAGGAGGCAGAGGGCTGGAAGTAGGGGGAGCGGCGTAGGGCCGGGAGGAATACCTGGGGGAAGGTAGAGAGGGGTTGAGGGGAGAGGGAAATCGGGAAGAGGGGCCGGGAAGGTGGGAGGGAAGGGGGAGGGTGGGGGATTTAGCATGTGATGTGAGAAGGGCAGACAAGGATTTGAAGGGAGAACAGCAGCATCACGCCTCCAGCCTCCTCCCTCCCCCCTCCTCTTTCCCTTGCTCACCTTGCCTCACACAAAATGTTCCCCCCCTCCCCTTCCCCATTGCCTCACCTTGCGCCACACGAGCTGCAGGCACCGCTCATGCTGCCACTCCTCCAGCCGCCTCAGTGCCGCCACCACCGCCGCTGGACTCCCCCACGACTCCCGCCCCCCTCCCCCCCCACTCGCCCCTTCCCCTGCCCCTCCACCTCCCCCCTTCCCTCCCCTCCCACCCCTTTTCCCAGGCCCGGAGCCCCCACCAGGTTCGGAATCCGGTTCGGAACCAGAGGAGGTTTGGTCGGAGAGGGGGAAGGAGGAGGAGGAGGAATTGGCAGAGTGGGGCTCATCAGAGTGAGCTTCAGTGGGAGCAATGCTGGCAATGGCTTCTCGGAGCATGACAGTATTGGACCACCAGAAGAGCAGTCTAGCAGCATCATCAGCAGCAGCTTTGGAGACCAGAGTCAGTGCAGTCACAGCCACTCTCGCCACGCCCCCCACCCTCTCATCCCCCTCATGCACTCGCACGAATGCGTAAGCCCTCGCTATTCGTCTCGCGGGAGTGTGAACTTTCCGGACAGATCCCCCGTGCTCTGGCCGTACAGCATACACTGCCACGTCAGCCATTGCCGCGTCTCTCAAATCCCCGGGCAGCCGCCCGAAATTCCGCTCCGCGCTCCTCGCCCGCTCCTCAGCCTCGGCAGCCCGAGCCAGAGCCTCGGCGACCGAAGCAGCAGCTTCGTCAAGGTGCGTTTTCTCCTCAGCCACCCGCTGCTGCTCCCACTCGAACCGCTCCCTCTCCTCCCTCACCCGCCTCTCTGCTGCCTCTGCAGCCCCTTTCATCTGCTCTGCTTCCTCCCTCTCCCTCCGTATCCTCTCCTCCTCCGCCTCCGACCACGCCGAAAACTCCGCCATTTGGCTCTCCAACTCACTGCACCGCTTCTTATCCATCTCAATCTGCGCGTGCTCCTTCTTGAGCCGCGCGCGCTCGTTCTCAGCCCACACCCTGAGCCGCTGCACCTCGTCCCCCAGGGTCTGCAGGGCTCGCTTCTCCTCCTCTACTAGCTTCTTCTCTGTCCGCACCTTGCGCCACTCAAACTCCAAACTCGATGCGTCCCCCCCTCCCCGCTCCTCGTCTCTCTCCCCTGCCCGCTCCCCCACCACCTTCATGCTCTTGGACTGCCCCAGCACCCCCCGTCCCCCACTCCCGCCCCCGCCCCCGCCAGTACTACCCGACTCCGACCCACTCCCCCCGCCAGCGCCGCCGCTGCTTCCAGCACGGGGCGGCGACGCGGTAACCGCATCGATGCCCAAAGAGCCGCCGACGTAGGGCATGGGCTTCTTGAGGTTGACGGGGAAGAGGTCGCCTGCCGGGCTGGAGGGCGACGTGAGACCATATAGCAGCCCATCACTGAACGGACTCATGCCCCCCCCACCACCACCACCAGCACCGGGGTCCTTACCGTCTAACGACTGCTGCCGGAACCTGGGGGATTTTGGTGGTGGCGGAGGCAGCGTCTCGAATTCTTCCTCTTCCTCCTCCTCCTCCTCCTCCTCCTCCTCCTCCTCCTCCTCCTCCTCTTGTTCCTCCTCCGGCTCCTGCTGCCCGTCCTGCTCCTCCTCTCCCCCGCCCCGCTCATTGCCATGCTCTCCATACCCGTCCCCATACTCGTCCTCTGCGTACCCATCCTCGTACCCCCCTTGCTGGTCCCTGTACCTGTCGGCCGCACGGCCATAGCTGCCCTGCCTCTGCTCGAACCCAAACGCCTCGTCATATTCCCCCTCGCCCCCATTCATGCCGGTGCCACCAGTGCCATCATCATACCCATCGCCCTCATCACCATCTTGCATGTACTCCCCCTCCTCCCTTTCATCCACTTGTACATACTCCCCCTCTGCATCATCATACCCCCCTCGCCCCTGCCTCCTCTTCCCTTGCCCATGCCCATGCCCATGCTCATGCCCTTGCCCTTGCCCTTGCCCATGCCCTTGCCCATATCCCCCTTCCTCCCCATATTCCCCCTCCTCATATCCCCCCTCCCCATAGTCCCCCTCTCCCTGGCCATAGCCCTCGCCCCCTGGGTACCCCCGCCCATGCCCATACCCCCCTTGCATCCCCCCCTGCTCCCCCTCCTGCTCCTCGCCCCAATAATCCTCCCCGTCTCCCTGCTGCTGCTGCTGCTGCTGCTGCTGCTGCTGCTGTCGCCCGCCTTTCCTTGTCCCCATCCCTCCGTCCAGCCCCATGCCGCCCGCATGCGGTTGCCCCGGCCCGCCCCTTTCATACGCCAGAGACAGGTCCTCCAATTCCTCCTCCCTCACCTCCTCCTCCTCCTGCTCCTCCCCTCCCATACCCATCCCTCTCCCCATGGCATGGTGCCCGTACATATCATGCAAGTCGTGATGCCCATACATGTCCTCCAAGCCACCATCATCCCCATCATCACCATGGTTGCCCTGTGGGTCATGCACGTAAATATCATGCGAATACACGTCATGCATGTCTGCTGCCTCTCCTCCACCACCCCTGCCCTTGCCCCCACCGCCCATGTTACCACCCCCAACGTTACCAAAAGCGTCATTCAGGTCTTCAAACGATCCTCCTTCCATCTCCGCTTCCCTCTCCTCCTCCCCAAACCCATCATGCCCCCCCTCGTCCTCCCCCTCCTCCAGCCCTTCCCCTCGACCATCCTCCCCCTCTTCCCCCTCTTCCCCCTCCTCCCACGCATTCTGCGCCCATGCGTCATCCATCGCCCCATCCCCGCCCCCACCAACAGGCAGGGAGGCCATTCGACCCCCCAGCTTCGCTTCCCCCCCGGCCCCCGCGCCTCCCCCGCCCACCGGCGGCAATCCCCCGCCCCCCGCGCCCTGCGCCCTGGCTCCCCCCGTTGACGCCTGAAATGCGAGGCTAAGGTCCATCTCCCCCCCTGAGAACCGCCTGCGGTCCCTCCCCCTCCCTTTCTCGCTCCTGCCCGCCCCTCTCCCCTCCCTTGCGCTCCCCGGCGCGCCCTTCAAAGTCCTACTCCCCTCTCCCGCTCGCCTCGGCGAACCACTTGCCGAACCTGCCGCCGAACCTGCTGCCGAACCTGTTGCCGAGCCTGGCGTGGAGCCCCCTTGGTCCTCGTACCCTCCAGCATGCCCTCTCCTCGGGCCGCTCCCCCGTCTGACCATCTCCGTGTCGCTGCTCTGATTCTCATGCCCCCCTGACGACGCCCCACTGTCCTTCCGCGTATGCTCCCTCCCTGACCCCTTCCCCCCGTGTCCCCCATGCGCGCCGTGCGCCCCGTGCGCACCCCCTGCGCGCATGTGTTCCGAATCGCTCCCCCCATGGTCGGAGAGCGGGCCGAGGCGGCTCCCCCCGCCGCCAGTGACAGACCCAGCCGCGTCCGAGTAGCACGTCTCGTCCCCCGACGACCCCGCCGTGTCCTCCGCGTCCTCTAGCGGCTCCAGCTTCGTCGGGTAGAACCGCGGCAGCGCGCCTGCGCCCCCCGCGCCCACCTCCTCCGCGGCGGCTTCCTTGCTCAGCTTCTTCCCCACGCACTCCACCGTCAGGTGTAGCTCGGGGCGCCCCAGCGCTGCGCCTAGAGACTTGGAGACTTGCACGGGGAGCGCGTGGGGGAGCACGCCGGCGCAGTCCGCGAAGGCGGAGAGGTCGAGCGACGCCTTCCCCAGCGCTGTTGGTTTGGGCTGCGCCGAGTCGTCCGCCTGCGCCTCGTGGATCGAAAACGCCGCGGTTTTGCGCTGGTACGGCGCGCCGGGACCGCCGCGCTCGCGGTACAGCGTGGCGGGGACCTGCGGGGTCGCGCGCGCGGGGGAGGGGAGGCGGAAAGAAGGGGGGACGGGGGGGAGGGGAGGGAGAGGAGGAGAGATGAGTGGTAGTTGCACTCTTAGGCTAGGATCAGAAAGTAAGCCTAGTCCAAATGCGAGCGGCGCGAGGCACTCACCCGGAATGTCTGGTCGATGACCACTTTAAACGCGTTCTCGTCCGCGCCGCCCTCGTCGCGCTGCGCGCGCACCGGCTTGGAAAAGCCCGTGCGCTTGTCCCCGCGCTGCCACTGGATGATCGCCGGCGCGCCCATGCGCAGCCACGGGCGCAACTGTGGGGGGGAAGGGGTGCGGGAAGGGGCGGAGAAAGGGGGGGAGGTATGCGCGGAAGGGAGGGCGGAACAATGGCGATTATGAGACGAGGAGCGAGCGAATGTAAGCTTTACGTGGAGAGGAGGGCAATGCAATCAGACGGCAATGCAATCAGTGACTTACCTCGATCAGATGCACTTTAAAGTCGAACCGGATCGCCACTAGCGACGGCGCCGACTGCTTCCCGGACCGCTTCTTCATGGCATATGTCGTAATAATGTTTAAAATAATATATAATTAGAAAGGGAGCTCGACTAAGGCCGCATTGCGTTCGGCATTAATCTACTAGTTAGTAACAACCGCACGGGAATTAAACCCGAGGTCCATAGGTTTTAAAGGTAGGAAGGTTGGTTGGTACAGGTGCTTAGATTGGTTCGCGAAACGGGCTTGTGCCGAAATTGATAGGGGCGGGTCGCGGAGTCAAATACTCCGATTGAACGAGGCAATTTGGAAGAGAATGAGACTCCGGTTGTAGTTTCGCATTGCCCAAACTGACAAGCCGTCCGACCAGGAGCGTCGACGGACGCACGCTGAGAAATAATTACAAGGACAAGATATCAACGCGTTCGGCAATGCCAATGCTGCAGCCTCCAAACATATTGCACTGACGAGATGGAGCCTCGCTTTCGAGATGTTACCGTCTCGAGAATGCCGGGTGATAGGAAGTACCAATTGATCACCGCCTACTACAAGTCACGTCTAGCTACCGTTACAGCGCAATGCTGATCTTGAAGCAGCTACGAGAGCTGAATTGGAAAACTAAATTAGTTCCTCCTCGCGACAAAGGTAAGCAGATGGAGAGGACAAAGCACACGTAACAACGCTGCGAGTCAAAGCATGGGTGCGTGGGTGGGTGCTGAAAGAAATGGTAACTTCTAGGTGTGGTTGGGTATGTTTGGGTATGTTTGGGACCATCCTGGTTGGGAAGGTGCGTGTATCTGTGGTACGAATTTGGTTCGCTTTGGAGGTGCTTGGGTATGTCCCCCAACAACCACCTCGAGACGAATGTACGGCACGGCACGGCACCACGGAACAGAACTCGAGGTGAGGTGAGGCTGTGCGCTGGGCTGGAGTGGAGTGGAGTGATGGCTGGAGGCGAGGTGTGGTTTGGGGATGGCGGAACTGATGTCGCGTACACGCTTTACTGGATATGGGCGAAAGCAAAGCATATTGCGTCTAGACAATTATACCCTACTCTTTGTCACTTGGGCGAAAGCATAATACCCTACTCTTTGTCACTTGTGTGAAAGCATAATACCCTACTCTTTGTCACTTGTGTGAGAGAAGCAGGTTGAGATGGTGTGAAGTGGTTTTGAAATACTTTTAAAGCTAGACAGGAGGGAGGAGCAATGCGCTCCGAACACCAGGCACCAACCATTGCCCAGACCACAGGCAGGCTCCACCTGTAATTTCCATCGAAGTATACTCGTACCTGTCCTGGCCATAAACCAAGGCAGCAAGCGCATCATCATGCCAGTATACATGCCCCATATATATTTGGATAGTAAGTATTATATGATTTCCACTTCCATGGGTGTACTCCATGCATCAGAAGGCGGAGAAGCAAACTCTACCCCACCGCCTGTCAACTGCGACCCTCTGGAGTTCGCCGGGGCGGCCTGAAGCAGCCGAAGAATGCCGCCCGCAACAACATCAGGCTGCTGGTGCACGGACCTGGCAGGGAGGGCCTCGGCTGTAGCGCAGGGCATGTGACGCAGCATGTAATCTGCTACAGCCGGGGGGGTGGCGGGGTCTCCCTCTAGGAAGAGCATATGCACTGGGATCTCTACCTGAAGGGTGGAAGGAAGGTGGATGCATGGGGAAGGGGAGGGCGGAAATTGAAGGCAGACACAGGCAACCACATGACCCCCCTCCCCCATGCTCACACGCACCTTCGGCAGCAACAGGATATCTTATCGCCCCTCTATCTTCACATCACACTCCCGACACCCACCACCCGCACTTACCTGAGGCAGCACTTCTCGCAGGTCGCAGGCAAAGGTGGTCCTGAGGCATGAGAAGGTGACGTCAGTGTAGCAGCACCCTCCCACCCCCACCCCCACCTCCCTTGCCTACACAGCACTTGTAGCAGCACCCTTTTGCGTCCCATCGTTCACACCCACCTGAGGCAGCACTTCTCGCAGGTCGCATGCGAAAGTGGTCTTGAGGCAGGAGAAGGCAACGTCGGGGCGCAGCGAGAAGAGCGGCCGAGTGACCTCCCTCACATGTTGCGCCTTCACATCATCCGCGTTCAGCACCGGTGCACACCCCTTTGCCCACAACTGGGGGGGGAAGGACGGTGTGGGGGAGGAGTAGCAGGAAATATATGGAGGGATTTAGGAGAGGTCTGGGCATGAGAAGAGCGGCCGAGTGACCTCCCTCACGTGCGCTGCCTTCACATCGTCCGCGTTCAACACCGGTGCACACCCCTTTGCCCACAACTGGGGGAGGAAGGACGGTGTGGGGGAGGAGTAGCAGGAAATATATGGAGGGATTTAGGAGAGGTCTGGGCATGAGAAGAGCGGCCGAGTGACCTCCCTCACGTGCGCTGCCTTCACATCGTCCGCGTTCAACACCGGCGCACACCCCTTGGCCCACAACTGCAGGACGAAGGGAGTTTTGGGAGAGATATGGAGGGGTTCAGAGGAGTGAAAAGGTGCAAAGTGGCCATGTCACCTCCCTCACGTGCGCTGCCTTCACATCGTCCACGTCCAGCACCGGCGCACACCCCTTGGCCCACAACTGAGAGTGGGGGTAAGGCCATTGTGGAGAAAGGAATAGCAGGAAAGAACTGGAGGGAATCAGGCGAGGCCTCAGCAGCAGACAGTTGCGTCACTTCCCTCACGTGTACTGCCTGCCTTCACGTCGTCCAGTAACCCACCTAGGTAGGCGCCACCAGTAACACGGGTAGAGGCGACGGCAGAAGCACGGGCAGGCCAGTGAAAGTGCCCAAACCATTCCACCAGTGACAGTGACAGCACGGGCAGGCCAGAGACAGTGCAACATTCTAGAACAACACCTCTTCCAATTAGCACCCAAACCAGTCCTCTGGCAGCACCTACCCGGAAGTTTCCCTGCATGATGCCGAAGACCTTGTCCAGGTCAGCGAGGCCAAAGCTGCTGTTGTAGTCGGGTGGGGCCTCCAGCAGCCTGCCATGGTGAGGGGTGGTGAGGAGTGGTGAGAGGTGGTGAGGGTGGTGATCAATGCACTGTGGTGATGAGAAGAGCAGGTAATGGGTGGTATGGATAGTGCGGGGGGGGGAGTTGACTGGTGTCTTGATCAGCCAGGTCAGATCGATAATGACTCACCTGGCCCAGGAGGTTGAGGGAGGAAGTCAATAAAGCTATGATGACTGACCTGGGTGATGCTGATGCTGATGGGGATGCTGATGCTGATGCTGATGTTGATGCTGATGGGGATGCTGATGCTGATGCTGATGGGGATGCTGATGGGGATGCTGATGCTGATGGGGATGCTGATGCTGATGCTGATGCTAATGGGGATGCTGATGCTGATGCTGATGGGGATGCTGATGCTGATGCTGATGCTGATGGGGATGCTGATGGGGATGCTGATGCTGATGCTGATGGGGATGCTGATGCTGATGGGGATGCTGATGCTGATGTTGATGCTGATGGGGATGCTGATGCTGATGCTGATGGGGATGCTGATGGGGATGCTGATGCTGATGGGGATGCTGATGCTGATGCAAACTGCTGATGCTGATGCAAATTGCTGATGCTGATGCTGATGCTGATGCTGATGCTGATGTTTATGCTGATGGTGATGCTGATGGTGATGGTGATGGGTACAAGCAAGCAAGCCACGACGACTCACCTGGGCGAGGAGGCGAGCAGCACGATGCGTTTGAAGAGCTTGGGGTGCTCGACAGCTGCCAGCAGTGCGATCATGCCGCTCTGCCTGTGCCCCACCAGCGTGCACTGCTGGCCCCAGTCGCCCTGTGCTCACGCATGGACACACACACGGAGACAAGCACACAGACAGACGGAGGGAGTGAGGGAGGAGGGAAGGATAAGAGAGGGACGAGAGGGGAATAGCAGCTGTAACAACTCGAACAGCTTCAACAGCTGTAGCACCTGTAGCACGCACCTCGACGCCCATCTCGGTGAGCAGCTGTAGCAGGTCCTCTGCGAAGCCGTGCAGCGTGCTGTAGCGCTGAAAGTCAAATGCATCGCTGTCTGACCTGCACCGACATAGGGGAATGGAGGGGAGATATGGGGTGGGTCGGGTCGGGGCACATGGGGCGAGTCGGGGCACTTGGGGCGAGTCGGGGCACATGGGGAGGGTGGGGGCACATGGGGAGGGTGGGGGAAAATGGAGGGATGGGGTGAGGATTGACTGATGGGCAGCGAGAGAGACTAGAAAGGGCAGGGGCGAGGGGAGAGGGGAAAGGAGAGAGGAGAGAGGAGAGCGGAGAGAGAGGAGAGAGGAGAGCGGAGAGAGAGGAGAGAGGAGAGCGGAGAGAGAGGAGAGAGGGCCGTAAGGGCATGAGGAGCAGGGCCAGCAGAGGGAGAGGATGAAGGGTGGATGGGGCGAGACGAGAGAGAGGGGGCAGAGGTGCATACCCTACAGCACCGGTGAGGTCGTAGAGCACAATGCGGTACAGAGCGGTGTCAAACGATTCCAACACATGCGTCCACATCTGAAGGTAGGGACAGGTAATGCGGAGGCCCGAAGGGACATGGTGAAGCGCATGAACATAGGTTGATGTTCGTTCTCCAAAAAAAAACAGTCAGCGTGAGAATATATGAACGCGTGATCATGGGATCGTGGGAATGTGGGGCATGCATGTCAAGGCAACAGAAAGCATGTGCATCGGCGCGGGCATGCATGTGAAAGTGAAAGCAGATAGCAGCACGCAGGGACTGGTTGAAGCCAAAGCCGTGGGAGAGCACGAGCAGCTCGGGGCCCGTCCCCACGATGCGAGGGACATGCGTGTCTAAGCAAACACGTGCGTGTGGAAGCAGCACGAGTACGGGCACTCACAGATTGATTGAAGCCAAAGCCATGGGAGAGCACGAGCAGCTCGGGGCCCGTCCCCACGATGCGCACGTTGTGCCTCTCCTGCGCCGTCCGCGCCGCCCTCAGCTTCGCCGCCTGCGCCGCCCTGCACGCGCGCAACAACGCGGACAAGACGCCGTTGTCATGCATTCAGCATGCGACATCACGGCAATGACTCGTGAGGTCACCACGCAATGCGCATGAAATAGCATTAATCACGACTGTTATGCAAAGCAACGCACACGACTATTAAGCATGCGCGACAAGAAAGCACACGCATTCCCGCCCCTCCCACTCCCCACATCCTCCCCTCCTTTCTCGCCAGTCCAGTACCACCGAACAACGGATCCCACGGCTCTTCTAAGCGCATCACTTACCTAAGCGCCACGCTGCTCCCGTGCCCCGAGCCGCCACCGGAGATGGCGCCGGCATGCATGGACGAGCTGCTCATGCCCACCACCACGCTGCCATTCATCGAGTCGCCCCCGCCGCCGCCGCCGCCGCTGCTCCCGTACCCGCTGCTTCCGCCCCCGCCGACGATCCCCCCGCCGCTCAGCACCCCCGCGCCGTGCATGCTCCCCGCCATCCGCGCATACAGCGGCGGGTTCGTCGGCGTGCCGGCCGCCGCCGCGCCGGCCGTCGCGGACCAACCGCTGTTCCCCCCTCGCGACGCCAGGCTCTGCCGCGACCCGTCTCGCGACTCGTCGCCGTCGAATCCGCGCGGTCCGATTGGAACGGCCTGACCTGCGATGTGCGTGGGCATCACCACTGCTGTCAGGCCGCGAGACGATGAACGCGCCTCGCCGGGATGATGCCGCGCACCCGCCGCAGCGCCACCGCCGGCGGCGCCGCCGCCGGGGGCGCTGCGCGGAGGCGTGGGAATGGCGGTACGGCCCGTGATTACGGACAAATCGAGCGGCTCGTTTACTTGCCACTCGGAACTGTCAGGGGGCGATCCGGGGAGGAATCCCGACGCGCCCTCCTCGCTCCGCCGTCCCGCTCGATCATCCGCGCCGGACGGCAGCTTGTCCGCGCAGACGGCGGAAGGTTGCGCCCACGCATGCTTCTGCGACAGCGGGATTTGCGCGGGGGACTCGACGTGCCGCTGTAACCCTCCGCTGGATTTTCTCTCGAGCGGCGCTGGCGGCGGCGGAACTACATCCGATCCTAGCTTGTGGCGCGCCGCCGATTCGAGCGCGCCGTTTCTACGACTTCCGCCGGCGGCGCGCGCGTCGTCGAAGAAGCTGTCGCCACGGGGAACGCCTGGGGGAGAGAGGGGCGGCTTGCCCACGCACCCCCCCATTAGAAGCGCGAGAAAAGGCCCGGTTTCCGTATGTGAATGCGATTAATATATCGAGGGCGATTAGAGAAACCGGCTTTGCCGTACCGCGTGGCTTCACTCGGGGAGAAATGGTAACGGGAAACCAGCTCTGGAGCAATCAAAGGCTGAGACAACTTGTTCGCTTTGAAAGAGAGCAGACGTGAGGACTCGAAACAGCAGCTCGGCAGGGAACAACGATTCGCGACGCGTACTTGTTCGAGTCCCGAAAACTTCTCTCGGCGGATAGTAAGTTCCCAGATGGCGCGATGGTGTCGTCGGCCATTGAACATCATCCAGACACCACGAGTCACGACAAACCAACAGTGGTGAGACGTGGTTCTAGTACAGTAACTCTCCTATTATTTTGCTGGCCCCCCCGGCGTACAGTAATTGAATCGAACGCACTGAAGAAACAGCGGTCATGGAAATGATCATCGCACAGCCACCCCACCCCAGGCAAATCGAGAGCGTGGCAGTTTGCAGGTGCGCGTGTAGAATGCGGTTCTTTTTGGCGCTATGCCGCCTAGCGAAAGCTGGCGCTCGTTCGGCAAAGTCTAGCATTCTGAACCATGAACAACCAATCATAGAATGACAGGCAAATCCAGAATGGTTACGACTGGCCAATTAAAGTTCTACCAGATAGATTCTCGTCCAACCACCGACCTGCTCATAGGACCTTTTTCGAACACAGGTGCCAACTTGGCAGTCCATCATTGTTCTTTCCAACACCGTTCAAAATGGTGAGCACAGAGCTGAGCTGGCTGAGGCCCTCGGTGACTCTTAGCCATGAGTTTTGCTGTGATTAGTCACCAATCACAGCAAAACTGCCCTGGCAGCGTTTTAACCTCGGCTGGCGTGGCAGGTCCGCTGGGCTGGTCCACCAGCGCAGAGCTTGATTTGATAGAAGGTTGTGAGAGTTTACAGCTCATGAATAACTGTTTAGACGGGTATGTAGAGGTTCAAAGCGGTGAAAAAGACGTGCCGCTTTAGAACGCACGATATCGTAAACCGTTATAAACGAACTGAAAGCTAATCAAACATGACTCGCTTTAGAGTATTACTGTCACGATGTGAAGTCATATTAGCTTACTACCTACATTTGAGAGTTGAGATGCTACAATGCAAAACCAAGAAACCTGGCATAGCATACGTGTTTCTGAAGAGTGACTGTAATATGTGCTGTGCTAAGGGCGCGTGTGGTCTGTTTAGAAGTTCAAAATAAAGTTCCAACTTTGGGTGGTTACCCTATTCGCTAATTTCGCGACGAGTGCTTCGCGAACCAAGCATTGTATGGGCTCTGCAAAAGTTCGAGTTTGAAATATGAACTTGACTCGAGTCGGAGGCGGGAACGTGCGTGCGCACATTCATGCGAGAGTGTGTGATTTGCAGCACGTCCGAACAGCTGGCGAAACGGGCGAGCGCTTCGCCAGTGCATGAAGTTGCACAACGAATGATGTAGAGAACTCTCCTCTACTTTGCAGGAACTGGGATTTCTACTAAACACTAGAGCACACTCTTGGCTTTCCAACGAGCCGTAGAACATGTGATTCGCCCAAGTATCGGCTCTAATACGGCTTTCAACGTGCTAGGTAGTGCTCTAAGATTGAAGAATAGGATGTCTCTGGATTTTGTGTCGAGTTGAACTGTGTATAGAAAACTCTGATTTTCAGTATGAAACATGCATACAAAGCAACTAGTTTTATAGCATGCAATCAACATCGAACCGCGTTCGTAACATCGCATCGCTACACTTCGCGAATGTTCTCGTAACATTTCGAAGTGGTGAAATTCGACTCTCGAATTTCACTCATCCGAATGTTCCTTCAAGTCTCAAACTTTCTGGTGCTGCCATGTGGCACCGAATTGGTTGAGTCTTCCGAAGTCAATCTTCAGCCCCACGCTAATCTGCAGCTCACTCGAAGGTGAGAACCAAAAGCAGCACCGTTCGGTGGTTGGGGGCAAAACCTAGCCCCACGCAACCTCTGAGAAGAATTGAACGAGAATGAAATGACTATGAACGAAGTGAGTACAAATAGGAAACCCTAATTGGGTTGTACCCCCTATGGGATACCCCACTATAGCCTACACAAATAAGTAAGCTATAATGTTCTGACACACCCCCATAGGCAAAGTGGGGGAGAACAAGGGGTCACAAGACCAGTCAAGCAAAGCAAAGCAAAGCTCAGGGTGGATCACAAAGTCACCACACATTCCGAGCACAAGTTCAAAGGCCAAAAGGCCAGTTCACATGCAAGATCATATATAGAGATATACAAGAGTCAAGCAAGCAAGAGCAAGAGTATATATACGTGAAGGTACAAACAAGGTCAAGAAGTGAGCAAGTGAGGCAAGACAGGCACAAGACCCAACTGCGTGCAACAACGCTGATGATCACAAGGCGCAAGTGCCTTGGTGAAGACATCAGCAGTGTTGGCCTCAGAGGCCACGTACGCAAGTCGCAACTGTCCACGCTGCTGTAGCTCACGAGCCAGAAAGTAGCGGAGAGCAATGTGCTTCGTCCTGTGCTCCAGTCGCTGCTCTCGACACAAGGCCAGCATGGCCTTGTTGTCTACGTACAGGACTGGAGGAGAACGAGGCTGCTCTCCAAGGTCAGTCAGCAGGTAGGTGAGCCAGCGTAACTCCTGTGCAGCCATAGCCCCAGCGTAGATCTCAGCCTCACAACTGGAGCCGAGAACAGAAGACGAGCGGGTAGCCCGCCACGAAACAGAGCCGGAACCAAGGCTGAAGGTGTAACCCTGTGACGACCGCTGCGTAGCCTGGTCGTCAGCCCAAGAAGCGTCCGCGTGCCCAGTGAGGACCACTGGACTGCGCCCTCCAAGCACTAGCCCCATGCCCGACGTACTGCACAAGTAGCGCAACACCCTCTTCGCTGCAGCCATGTGCTCTGGTCGGTGTCTCCCAGGAGCAACATAGCGTGCGAGAATGCTAAGAGGGTACGCAAGGTCAGGTCGTGTGCAGGTCATCAGGTACATGAGGCAGCCAACAAGCTCTGCAAACGGGCCACTCGACTCTACGGACTCATCCGAAGGCAGAGCTGAGAGCGAGTGGCGAGTAGGCAGAGGAGTGGCCTGAGGCGAGGAGTACGTGAAGCCGAAGCGCTGAAGGACCTGCTGCACCATGTGTGACTGAGTCAGGGTAATGGTGCGGCGTGCTCTGTCCCGGGTGATCTGCAAGCCAAGGTAGCTACGCAGTTCACCCAGGTCAGTGCACGTGTGTCTCTTCTGCAGCTCGGACTTCACGTAGGCGAGTCCAGCAGTGTCAGCTGTGGCAAAGACCAAGTCGTCGACGTACACGAGGATGTAGAACGGCGGCAGAGAGGTGTCGGTGCGCAGAAACAGCGACGGGTCGGCAGTAGAAGGAGCAAACCCAAGTGCTGCGAGTGTAGTCCTCAGTGTGTCGTGCCACTCACGTGGCGCCTGGCGGAGACCGTAGACTGGACGCCGGAGACTCCACTGGGTACCAGGAGGGAAAGACCCAGTGAAGCCAGGTGGGCGACGCAGCCAGATCTCCTCGTGCAGGCTGCCCTGCAAGAAAGCAGTGCTGAAGTCGAGAGAGTGCAGCTCGTAGTCACGGTGAGCAGCAACGTGCAGCAGAACCCGAAGAGTGGTCATCTTCGGGGTGGGGGAGAAGGTCTGAAAGTAGTCAACCCCCTGCCGCTGACTGAAGCCACGAGCCACGTAACGCGCCTTGAAGACAGGCGGAGAACCCGGCGGCCGCTTCACCCTGAAAATCCACATGCCACTGACGATGTTCGCCCCAGGAGGGGGAACAGCGTCGACGTAGGTGCCTGTGGACTTCCAGGAAGCCATCTCTGCATCCATAGCTGCCTGCCACTGAGAGGAGTAGGGACCCTCTATCGCCTCCGTGTAAGAGCGCGGAGTCGGGATGTCTGGTGCATCCGGGTCTCCCTCAGGGGCTAGTAGTACAGACGCGAGATGAGGTGAAGCGGCGGCCAGACACTGGAACTCCTCCTGCCTGTCCTCAAGGACGTCAGTGCCGAGGGCACACTCACCACCGACGGACGGAGGACAGGCAGACTCAGACTCAGCAACAAGACTGGCAGCATAGTCTAGACGACAGCGCGCAGCAAAGTCGACAAGCTCAGTGACAAGGGCAGACGCAACAGACGACTCGAAGGAAGGGTCAGTGACAGCAGTAGCAAGGAGACGCGTGACAGTAGGACTGGCAGCACGAAGAGAGTCCGACTCCGGGTCGGCAAGAGCAGGAAGAGAGGAAGCAGGAGGAGAAGGCAAAGGGGCACGCAGAGGAGCAGTGGACGGACGCAGTGACATCCGGTGCGTGCCAGGGACAGGAGGAGGACGCTGACGCGACCCGCGACCACTAGCGCGCGAAGTACGAACAGGCGACGCAGGACGAGACGCAGGCTCACGACGCTCAGTAAGACCTCGAGTCGGACCAGCGTAGGGAGAAGGAGCAGGCAAAGGGGAGGCAGGCTGTAGCTGTGGCTGTGACTGGACAGGCTGTGGACCCGCTAAGGGAGGAGGAGGTGTAAGACCAAGAACCTGCTGCAGGAGCGGAACAAAGTACGGTCGGGGCCGCGCGGCAACGCCAGAAACAGCAAGAACAGCACCAGTACCCCCAGCAGGAGCACCCACTCCAGCAGCACCTCCAGCAGCACCTCCAGTAGCTCCAGAACCTCCAGCAGCAGCACCAGGAGCACTGTCAGTCGGACCGCCAGCGACAGTCTCAGCGCCAACACCCTCAGCAGCACCAGCTCCAGGAGAACCCTCAGACCCAGCAGCGCCAGCACCCACAGTACGAGCACCGCCGGGACGCGCGGCAGCAGTACCCTCTGCAGCCGAAGAACCACCAGCACCAGCAGCACGCCTCCAGCGCCTGGCAAACCACTCACGCAGCTCCTGTGGGGAGAGTGGCTCCCGGCGAGACGAAGCACCTCCAGGCAGAGCACCCCCAGGCACAGCACCCCCAGGCTCAGCACT